AGAAGGACTTATTTTACTGAAGAAATATCTTACTCTCGCGACTTACTTCCTCGTACTCAGCATCAAAGTACTCCAGGTCATGCTGGTCAGAGCTCAGGTGACTCGCGCTCCTCACTACCTGCCCATCACCTGCGGAGTAGTGAGCGTGGGTACTGTATTAAGCTCATGTAGGTGCTGTAGGTAGACAGTCATGACACCTCTTCATCCATCAAATGAGCGAGTTAATGGTGGTATCAGTTTGTTAAGTGAAATATTACAAGAAAAATAAGGAAGAAGCTCGGCAGTACACTCACCAGGAAGCTGCAGGAGCTGACATTGAAGTCTCTCCACGTTCTCCTTTCTTCGTTTCTGGTATGGATGAGGAGTCACGACTCTATTGACTCGTTTCGTTAATCTCCTGGGTCGCCTGCGCACTGTTCGACTCTCCTGCTGCTGTGGAACAACTAAACGTGACCGAAGTTGGTAAGGACAGTTCCTAGTAAGAGATTTCCTAGCTGAAACTCGTGTTATGGTGTGCAGAGGTCGGAGTGACCTAAGCAAATTACAGCAAGTCTGAGCTTTTGTTTTCAACATGCAGTTTCTGACACCCACACCCGAGTCATCAGTGGGAGGTGGCGGCTGTGGAGGCAAGCAACTGTGTCCGGTGCCACTAGTTGGTACGAAAACCTGAGATGGTTGATACTGCACAGTGATGTTCTTGAAAAGTGGCACTGCGACACACTGACCTGTCATGGTGGGGTAAGGTTGAGCCATGGAGAGACATGCATGAGAGGAACCCCGTATCAGGGTTTCATCAAGGCCACAGAGGCAACAGACTGGGACAGGCAAGACTGGGTGTAGGTCGTTAGGGACGAAGGTGCAGTGTAAGAGGGAAGGACCTCCAGCCGGGAGTTTATAGTTAGTGTGAGAAGTGCTCCATACCCATGGCGCGTACATCGAAGGGATAGCGGTGTGTTAAGTCTTCAGTTGTGTTGCTGTGTTCATCGACTCCTAGGGCTCTGGCTTCCCGCATTTTAAGCACGTCGCTTTCATCCCTAAAAGGCCATAATATAAGTCACAAAAAGAAGATGATACTTGACGACCACGGCGCCCCCAGAGCACCAACTTTAGGAAATTTCTCGTTAGATTTGATAATAAAGTTTTCTTACGTCGTGAGAATGACGAACAAGTGCACGGGGAATATGTTTGACTCTACATCACTTGGACAATGTTTACGTTTTCTGTCTGCCGAGGAGCTGCTTCTACCAGCCATGTTTAACTTATGTGGGTAACCGTTCTCCAGATTGCGAGGTTCTTACAAAAATAAAGACATTCTAAGACGTACTGTAAATGATAATATGATAAACGTTTTCCCCACGTCCACGAAATATAAAAAAAGCTTTATTGTTCTATGAAGAAATTCCTAATATTGATGGTAGGAACGTGTCTCCGGTGTCACGTACCACATAAAAGATACATTCCCCAAAATTGTGATGAAAGTGATGAAATATGTAGCTTCATCTCATTCATACATTTTTACACTGAAAAAAATAAAGTTTCAAAATTGCTGATATATACAAGTTAAAATCCGATAAGAAAAACGACTTAAAACCAAACAACTTAGCTCCGTCATCGCCCACTGTATCGTTACTGGAAAAAGAAATTGGGATTCCTTTGTAATTTTTCACTCAATATTATGATCATAGATAAAGACACCAGCACCTCCTAACCCGGTTGGTGATAAAAGGAAAATGTAAATAAATACAAAATGTCTAAGAATTATCGAAATTATTGAATGCAACTACAAATTACCTTCGACTCCCGCACTGTCTTTAAAGTAAGCGTTTACCGAAAAAAATATCGTTCAATATCAAAACATGAAAACCTGATCTCCCCAATTGATTACTTTCATCACCGTAATCACCATCAAAAACTGTACTAGATAATCACCGTCCTATAGTTATGAGCTCGTTTGCCGGTGTTGGCAGAATATTAACCTCGATCTGGTATTAAGTAACACGGGAGTGACCTGGTATTAACCTGGGAGGAACCTGGTATAAGTAACATGGGAGGGTCCTGGTATAAGTAACATGGGAGGGACCTACTACAGGGGTCAAACACAAGTCGTCCAAGAACTCCCAAACGCCTGTTGTTGTTTCTCAGTAACACAGCAGCTGGTCCTCATTTTTTCCTAGGCCACGGACTGAAAGAACGCCAGGACTTTCGCTCGAAAATAATGAAGTGTTTATGACCATAGGCACAAAATAAATATACAAAAATCCTGGCGATGATCCACTCACTGACCTACTACCACCCTCCCTTCGTCACGTCTCGTTGTACACTGTCAAGCAAGTGTCAACAAAGTCTCGAGCTCTTAGACCCGAAACAGAGGCGTCGAGTTAGTGAGTCAGTGATTCGATGAAGCGTTTTTCTTTGGATCCGATTCGGCGATGACGTCGATGTTAAATCTTGTATAAACGTACTCCCGCCTTGACTTTCTACATATATTACACCTCACGAACTGTAGAGAAATATACATCTCTGAGAGGCTCGCTACATAAATGTAAGACTCACCAATTTTGCAGTGAGTTCCAGCAATATGACTCCTGCACACATCTGTACCGTTTTTGAAGACTAATGCGAAGTCGACAGCATGCAAATTTAACCATTATTGGAAAAGTACCACGAACAGAACCGCAAAGCTACTCTCTTTATGTGTTATATAATAAACAAACAACTAGACACTAACCTAACCTAATCTAACTTAACCTAACGACCATAGCTTTAGTTAAGCTAAGATAGGTTTGACTCGTTCACGGCATCTGAAGATTAACTTAGTAACCCCGTTCGAGGTCCTTTTATAACATTAGTCGTTCATGAAGCAATGCGAAATTGAAATTTAATTATTTTATTGACAAGTATTACATCAAAAGGACAGGATAATATGCTACTCCTATCCTCACCTTTGTCATCTCTTTTTGGGGGCAAGATTTTATACAATACAAAAATTACCTTAATCTTTGCATTTTCTTTTACAGTCAGGTAATTGAAATACCTGTACAGTCACCAACCCAAGTCCTGTCGCCTCATCTGCCTCTTAATGAACCCAGAGATTCAGATATCTGTTTCGGTTTCACAGGTGTCTGAATCTCTGGGTTCATCAACAGGCAAGTAAGGTGGCAGGACTTTAGTTGGCGACTGTGCAGTACAGAGTATTTTAACATTAGTTATTCATCAAAAGGACTGAATAATGTTATCTCCCGCGAGGCAACATGAGTTAAGGTTTCCAATGTGTTTGAACTTATGAAGCCTCGTACTCGAGCTAATGTTCCGAGTGAACCTTTCATGAAGTAAACAACGATGACGTGGCGCCAAGCAGGTGTCACCTGACCTTCCGATGATTAGCTGGTTTAATAAGTAGGTAAGATTTCTGAATCATTTAATTGGTTATGGCCAGCATGATTGCATATAAGAAATCCGTCGTAATCATGAGAAATATATATATTTTTCTCAGTCCTGTACATACCGGTATACATTCTGCAATTTAATAGAATTGTTGGGACAGCTTTATGGTCTATTTCCATCATGGCGGCTGCTGTATCAATCACTTCTTGTAAAATTGTAAAAACGAATAAGTCAAAACCCAAACCTCACCTAAACACATAATATTCTGAGATTGACAAGTTAGGGAAGATCTGATTGGTTCGATTAAACTGTTTTAGAAGATGATTTATACGATTTTCACACACACACACACACACACCTATTTTATATATGACATTGTAGGGCCTGACCAAGCTGGCCACAGTCTCCGAGGGAGCGCCCTGCACAGGAAGACCCTCAGGGAGCCAGAGAGGTGTAGCTCGCTTAATTCTTCATTGTGTTGATTACTATTGTATTTAGTAATCTATTATACGCGCTTAAAGCCTTATAGTTGTTGAAGGGTTGGTCGAGTTACCATCTTGAGTCACTTCTTGTAATGTTCTTTGATTGGATTCTCTCTTGGATTCTTTCTTGGAGTTCACTTTGGAATGTATCTTGGATTTTTTGTAACCTTACGATGTTGTTGTTTGATGTTCGGTCAGACAGTTAGCCTTCCCCTTACTAGCTACACTGTGGTATAATGTCTTATTGTATCGTATAGATAATTAGTAAATAATTTTTGCTTTGTAAACAAGTACCGTAACATTTAGGGGTAATACTTTCTCCCCAATAAGTGACTGTCTGTGTCTGTGTGTGGGCGCCCTTGAGGACACACGCCCATGTAAGCCGATACCTGTGCCTTCGTCTGTGGTTGACCTCGAGGACACCTTCCTGGACTCTCTACCAGGGAGGAGGAAGCGAGGCAGATGTCCCTCTTCACCCCTTGGAGGACGACCCACTCTATCCTGACCGTCACCTCCGTCTCGGCTGTCTGTGACTTGTGCTAGGGTCCTTGAGCTAGCGGGGGCGATCAACAATGCCTGGCCTTCCACTTAATCCTTCTACGACACACCAGGCAGATATTTTCCTGATTCTGCCCGCACTGGCTCTCCCAGGCTACAGTACGGAGCGCTGGGTCGACGACGTCAGGCGAAGATGATGATGATGACCTCTGGAACAGTAGTTTAAGAGTTAGTTAGTTGTTACTCTCTTATTAACGTCATGTTTTATGATATTAAGCATTATCAACACACACATACACACACACAGTACACACACACACACACAGTACAGACACACAGACACACACACACACACACACACACACACACACACACACACAGATACATGTACAAGATATTACCGCCATGTGCTTGTCTACACGTATACAGGCAGCCATGACGGGAGATCCAGGTCCTGTGGTGCTTCTCTCGGCGGCTGGAAATCGACTGCAGGAACTCAGGTCGCTTATCACGTCTCACTGCCACGTTCAGGTACCCGTAAATTGCAAGCAGACTTTCCTGCCGCGTTGCATCTTTCGCTGACGTCGTCATTAAGGAAACGCGGTTACTCCCTTTATTGGACTAATTCGGCGACGGCTGCAGGAAGTGGGGTGGCTTATAAACAAGGGCAGCGTGGAGGTACCGAGCCATTTGTGCGCTGGTTGGCAGTGGTTCCTGGATAATGGTGAGTGTTGCGTCTACCTCATGAATTTCCCCACTAAACCAAGAGGTTCCCAGCGTGTGTGTGTGTGTATAATGGTTGAGTTAGGTTATATTAGTTAGATGAAGGTGAAATTAGTCTAGGTTAAGTTAGGTTAGGAAGCAAGTGATGTAGCCACAGAAAGACATGTGGAGCATCGCACATAAACAAGTTCTCATCCCTGCAGGCGAGACTGACAGAAGTGGGAGTGCTTCTCCTGGTGGTAGGGGTGATCTGTGCTGCTGCCCAGGAGGAACCAAATCCTCCAGAGCAAAAAGGTGAGTGCAATACCCCCTCCAACCCCCCTTAAAAAAAAAAAGCTAGATCTTACCCCGTCCAGGCCGCCACACTCTTGATGTTTCTTACCTTCCTCTCCTCACACACACACACACTACTACTGCTACTACTTTGCTGTCACCCGGAATCGAGTATGATGTTACAGAGTGGAGTGATCGTCTCCCAGGTGAGGGGGTCGATTTGGCACTTTTCAGGTTTGTCTTTAGACTATCCTTATACCTTTTCAATTGCCCGCCAGAGTTACATTTGCTATTCGTTAGGTGACTGTAAAATAGCTGCTTTGGCAGTCTACTGTCGTCCATGCGGGTAACATGGCCAGTCCAACGTAGTTGTTCATGGATAATGGTGACCTCGATCTTCCTACAGATGGTGTCAGCGAACTCGGAGGATGGAACGTAGACTACATTAGTGAAAGTTGTCAAGTACCTTGAGGTGCCTCCTGTATGTGACCCATGTCTCACTGCCATATAGCAGGGTGGGAAGGACCACTGCTCGATATACGTGCAACTTTGTAGATAATTTCAGCTCCCTACAGCTGAAGACACGGGTACGGAGTCTGCCAAAGGCTTGAGATACACATCTGATCCGATGTTGAATTTCTTCATCGATGTCCGCGGTGGTGGACAATGTGGTTAAGCTTCCCACCATTAGTAATGGAGTCCAGTCCCAGTGATCCCCATCCTAATGATTAGGTTAAGACGGGCCGAGACCTATCACGACTGGGGGACCCATCCTGACCAGTCACCACCTCACCACCACTGGCATATATCTCCCGATGGCAGGATTTGTGACACCCCCGCCTTGTAAATGAATATGCGAGTAGTGTTGTATTTACAGCTAAGAACAGGTGGCTTGGCTTGGCTTGGGGTGGCGTGACGTGGCCAGGAGGTCGTAGCGGGACATCAGATGCCGGGGGGAGGGTAGGTTCCTGATGTAAGGCCTCCCGCCACCACAGATAACAGACCTACATGTGCCCAGTGGTATCACCTGTAACTTAGCCCCACCAGCCTATTTCACCTTGATATTAACCACCATAACGCTAACCTAACCAAACCTAACCTAACCTACCCATGAAAATACTAATACTGAAATTTTTGTATGTAAAATAATTCATAGAAATGCTATTAGACGATGTTATGGCTCAAGTTGTAAATGAATATATTTTAAAATTAAAATAATTCAGGTATGTTATTTCCTTGACAGATATGCAGAAGTTCTTCGTCAGGTCAGTCTCCACCACGACTGAGACCGTGTTAACATCCATCACCTCCATCGTCCCCTTCCTCTGCTTCTTCAGTAAGTGTGTGTGTGTGTGTGTGTGTGTGTGAAAATACTTCTAAGGTTCACATGTAGCGTCAACCTCCACCAATTAATAAATAACATCAGGTTGAGACTGCGGTGTGGTACTCTAAAGATAAGTTAGGTAAGTACAGTACATACAAATATGTCTGTGTGAGTGAGTGAGTGTTCCTGGTTGAGTGGAAGACAGACTACAAGTGCCTCTAGTTGCCTTCCTCTGAGTATAAGAGAGTGGGGGAAAGAGGGACATAATCACCACAAGAGTATCCATTAACAAGCCTTTCTCTTTTTATGTTTCTTAACCAATAACTCCAATTCACATCATGACGTCACTTCCACAGCGGGCGCTGCACCGGCCGTTGCTTGTCAGGGCAGAAGACTTCGTCGATCCCGCCAAATCTCACTGAATCTTGGGTCCCCCGCTCTCTCCCCCGACCTCGACTACGGTTCACTCGACGTCAATCCACAAGAGATGGAGAAGGAGGAGGTCACCGATGAAAAGTTCTTCTTCACGCTGTACAAGTCTGTCACCACCACTGCCACCATCACTACCACCTCCATCAACTCCTCCACTACAGTGTCCGTTTCAGCTTATTGTACCTTTGCTGGGTTTACAGGGCCAGTGTGCTAGAAGTCTGCCTCGCCAACCCCTGTGCTAATCGTCTGCTCGCCACCACCCGTCCTTTCTAAGTAGTCATGTCAGTGGTTGTTATATAATGGGTATTTGTGACCCCTCTAATAAATATTAATAATAGTAATAATAATGTTTCTTTTTTTAACACGCTCATAGTTTCTTACACAAACAAAGTAGATATGTGACGTGACATACTGAAGTGATAACATTAGCGTGTACAGTCATCCTTCGGCCATAAAAATATAATTTATCAAAATATATAATGTATACAGTATGTATAGCACATGGGTATTAACTGGATTTCACATAGAACTGAAACAAAAAACTGTTGAAAGCGTTTTTTTTTTCTTGTTTTTCTTAGAAAAATTACTCTACTGTCTACACAATACCATGAGTAAAGTTCCCCAAAATCACACTTGAGGGAAACTCCGAATCCGAGAAGGCCGCCATCGCAAATCTCAAATATTAGGAAACACTTACAGGGCAAAAAGTTTATTACTACTTGTCATAGGAAGATGAATTTGTGGTCTAGACCAAGGTTTTGAGGTATGTCGAATTAAAAGGAAATATTGGAATTTGGTTTTGACTTAATTTTATGAACTTACATCGAATTTGGGCACCATTTTTCACCTTGATAAAATGAAAGAGTTACTAGAGGTTATGGATGAGGACGAGTCCCGTCAGTAGCTCCTACTGTGGGTTACTTCAGTATTAGAAGAACAAACAAGTTCTGGAGCGGAAATCTTAGACCAGATCACTGGGTAAAATGTAATGTTATTGTTGCAGACTTCCGGAGGTCTAGCTCATGGTTGGGGAATTCCTGACAGCACACTGACCAAATGGGTCTATGGTACACCTCACTGTGTATACTTGCGGGTGTGTAATACAATCACTATACAGAAGCTGCTTCCGCCTCAAGAACTCGACATACATTTGTGCCTTAGTCTCTCGGCAGTCGCAACACCGCTGCTGTTAGGCTTTGGGAACCCAAACTAGAGAAAGTTTACTGACCCTGAGGGCCGTAACTGCACTGTTGGTCAGGAACACCTACTTGTCTACTGGCCGCTCATGGAGTTGGGTAGTGTGTTCAAAATAGGAGAAGAACACTTCAGGTTCCTCTTCACTAAAACGAGGTACAAATCTCACCTCTTCTACCGAGTGAAAGTACAGCATGTGCAACCTCTATCCCCGGTGTGAGGTCACTAGTCAGGGGCGAGCCCTTATTCTCTGCTCTAAGCAACTGTACTTAAAATTTGTGAAGCTCAATGAGAGCGCGGGAGTCAGACAGGCATTATAGAGAGTCCTCATCAAGAATAGCCTGTTCCATAAGGTTAAGTTATAGATGTGGAGGAGAATGTATGGGTTAGGTCATGGGTTCATAAGGGAATATTCTAAAGTTCGGTTCAGTAGCATCAAAACAGGTAGGTAATAATAAGCACAGTAACTTTAACTTAACTGAGAAGCGTCCTCACTAAAAGACTTAAATGCAAATGTAATTAATTTTCATAGAGATATATTATGAGTTTTATTACTGTATACTATTGTCAGGATGAAGGGCAAGTAAAGGTGATGAGGCTTTCCCCGCCAATATCCAACCTTCCTGAGAAGATAAACCTCCTCGTCCTGAAGAAGTTTTTCACGTCTTCAAGGATCGAGGGGTAAACAAGGTTTTCCGCCAGCCTCATGGTTACCTTCGGTGACTGGGAACAGGCGGTACAACTACGGGACGTGGAAGTCATCAATGAAGTCCCACTTCAGGTGGACGTTAGGTTTGATGACAACGCGGTGTGGGGAGTTATCTCCCATGCTGAGATACAGCAGATGGAGAAAAATGAAATACAGGAACTTCTGGGAAATGAACTCTTCATCGCACGAAAACTGACAAGACCTGCCGAGGAAACTACCACCGCCGCGGTAAGCTTCCTCTACAACCTACCAGAAAAGATCACGCTGTGATGGGACACCGTCCCAGTGAAACCATACACATAACGACCTACCAGATGCTTTAAGTGTCAAAGGTAAGGTCATCCAGCCAAGAAGTGCAAGGCCCCAGAAGACGTGTGCTCCAGGTACGCGTCTTCTGGACACTAACACGATGTTTGTAAGACTGAGAAGAAGAAATGTGGCGGTCTTCACCATTCCTTTGACCGGGAGTGTCCCAAATGGAAGGAAGAGGTGAAGCACAGCAAGAGATGCGCTTCTCTAAGTGAGGAAAGAAAAGCAGCCAGAACCAGAAAACCGCCAAGAACGAGAACAAGAAAAGTGGAAAATCCAGGAGAATCCCAATAAGAACAAGATACCAAGCTAACAGGACTACGGCCCTAAGAGCTATCGCTGTTGACGAACAGTAAAACAATCAAACAACATTAGCAACTACATGTTTAATATAATGGATACAAGGTGACTACATTACAAACTTTAGGTCAATGTTCTAAAGAAAACATCTAGAGGTTTCAGAATGAGGAATAGACTGGTGGAGTACCAAGACTGTTACAGTATTAGACTCAGTCACCCCAGCCAGTGTATCACCCCGAGCAGGTGCAACCTCTCCAGGATTATTAACTCTGGCTTAAGCTAAGTTTCATTGGTACAGGTTCGTCTGCATTTCGGAACACAAAAATGGAAGGATCATCATCACTCGCAGGGCGGGGCGTCGAGGCCAACTCCACCAAGAACACTGACGGTGACGGTGGAGTCCGTGTTGGTGTAGACGGAGGTACAGGAGAACACTGACGTCACGGTTGTTACCAGAGTGATACCGAACCTCGCGCGGCCAGGCAAGTCCTCCTCCACCTCCAGAAGGCTGCTGTGTAGATCTGACTCAGTACTGTTCCCTCCCAGTGAGGCTCCACGGTCATTCAGAGGAAGTAGTTCCCTCAATGGTTTCCTTGGCAAGCTTCCTACAGAACAACAAAAGGAAAACTATGTTATATTTCTCTTTAAATCTTTAATAACGAAACACCTGCAGCATACTATATGTATGGTGCCACAGTGACCACTATAGGTATTGTGCCACAGTGACCACTACATATATGGTGCCACAGTGACCACTATAGGTATTGTGCCACAGTGACCACTACATATATGGTGCCACAGTGACCACTATAGGTATTGTGCCACAGTGACCACTACATATATGGTGCCACAGTGACCACTATAGGTATGGTGCCACAGTGACCAGGTATGGTGCCACAGTGACCACTATACGAACGGTGCCACAGCGACCACTATAGGTATGGTGCCACAGTGACCACTATAAGTATGGTGCCACAGTGACCACTATATGTATGGTGCCACAGTGACCACTATAAGTGATGTATGGTGCCACAGTGATGGTGCCACAGTGACCACTATAAGTATGGTGCCACAGTGACCACTATATGTATGGTGCCACAGTGACCACTATAGGTATGGTGCCACAATGACCACTATAGGTATGGTGCCACAGTGACCACTATATGTATGGTGCCACAGTGGTCACTATAGGTATGGTGCCACAGTGACCACTATATGTATGGTGCCACAGTGGTCACTATAGGTATGGTGCCACAGTGACCACTATATGTATGGTGCCACAGTGATCACTATAGGTATGGTGCCACAGTGACCACTCTATGTATGGTGCCACAGTGGTCACTATAGGTATGGTGCTACATTGACCACTATAGGTATGGTGGCAGAGTGACCACTACATATATGGTGCTATAGTGATCACTACATATATGGTGCCACAGTGACCACTATAAGTATGGTGCTACAGTGACCACTACATATATGGTGCCACAGTGACCACTATAGGTATGGTGCCACAGTGGTCACTATAGGTATGGTGCCACAGTGGTCACAATAGGTATGGTGCCACAGTGGTCACTATAGGTATGGTGCCACAGTGACCACTATATGTATGGTGCCACAGTGACCACTATATGTATGGTGCCACAGTGACCACTATATGTATGGTGCCACAGTGGTCACTATAGGTATGGTGCTATAGTAACTACTATAGGTATGGTGCCAGAGTGACCACTACATATATGGTGCTACAGTGATCACTACATATATGGTGCCACAGTGACCACTATAAGTATGGTGCCACAGTGACCACTTCATATATGGTGCCACAGTGACCACTATAGGTATGGTGCCACAGTGGTCACTATAGGTATGGTGCCACAGTGATCACTACATATATGGTGTCACAGTGACCACTATAGGTATGGTGCCACAGTGACCATATATACTGTACATGGTGTCAGAGTGACCACGATAAGTACTGAAGAAAATTGGTCCCCCAACTACAGCTCAAACTGGGCTGAGATCCTGTGTAAGTAAGCCTGACCATCTCTCCATCCTCCCACAAAGGACTCTATAGGACGTGGCTTCGTAGGCGGGTCACTGATCTGGTGAGGCTTAAAACTACTAAGGAGAACAACACTCTCATTAAAGTTGAGAGGATTCCATCCCATGTTGGAATTAGGAATTGTGATAGTTGATAGACTGGTCAGTGAGGCAGCCCGGGACCCAGACCTGTCATATGCTGTACTTAAAAACATACAGTTTAAAATCATGAACTCTGATATAGAGGAACCGAGAAACGCAGAGAGACCTGGTAGTTGTAGCATTAGTAAATATGATAAATTTTGTGACAAGAAGTACCGGTATGACCAGCATAAGGACAGAACCAGACAATGTGATGTAGTCGTGGCCAGAATTAGGTTAGGATACAGACACATCTGGCAAGTTAGTGGCGCTGTACCCATACCGGAACACTCAGCATGTAAACTTTGTGATAGACCTTTAAAACATACACTTGAACATTATATTGTTGAATGTGACACAATAACTACTACACTGCATCATGAGTCATTGGAGATATTCTGGCAGTTTATCCACACTGATTAGTCCTCAATTATCTCATTTATATGTAATATGACAATAAATCAAAGTACCATTATCATATCTGAGGGTTGGTGACCACAGTCCTCTACTCTAAACGTTCTCAGGCAGTTCTTACCAATCCTCTAAGGTTTGGTATCTCTCTGGGGACCCAGTTTTTAATTTTGTTCAACCATCCCAGTCTCTGTCTTCCCCTGGCCCGCCTACCCTCAATTTGCTCATTAATATTTCTGTTATTATCTTCTAATTAAATGACCAAAGTACCTCATTATCCTTGTTCTATAAAGTTCAAGTATTTTCTTCATTTGATATCCTCTCAGTGTAACTTACTCTTAACATTCGCCTATAACACCACATTTCAAAGGCCTCCAACCTCCATCTGGTGTCTGCTGAAAGTGTCCATGCCTCTGACCCATACAACAGTCTTGACCATACAGAACATCTTATCAGCTTTTTTCTCAAATTTAATTTAATGTCTCTTTTTCTTGTGTTATTTAGATTATTATATGCTGTTTTTTGCTTACCCCATTCTTGTTTTGATTTCTTCCTTACATCTACCATCACAACTAATGCTACTTCCCAAATACACAAAGTTTTCTCTTTGTTTAAGTTCCCTGTTGCCTACCATAATCTTTATCGTAGGATTCATAACCAGTTTGGAGACAACCATTACTTCTGTCATTACAACATTAACTCTTAACCCAAATTCTTTACAATAAAAGGCGAATTATACACTAATGAATAAGAACTATTCCATTATCGTTTGTGTATGAACCTCTGTCCTGTGTGGCAGTGATCAGTGACAGCACCGTCAGTGTCAAGACCTGACTGAACTCCCCATATTAAACAAATCGTCTATAAAGATGTTAAACAAAGGTGTCAGTGTGACTACTACAATACAAGTGTGGCGTCTCAATGACCAGTACAATACAGGTATGGTGTGAGACCATGGACATAGTTTCGACAGAGACAGTGCCGGATTAACCACGAGGCACTTGAGGCACTGGCCTCAGGCCCCCCGACTCTAAGGGACCCCCAAATCCAAACATTCTCGAAGTTGAAGCGTATAAAACATGAACTGCGTTCAACGATGTCCTAGCAACGTCTCAATTTTCTGTCTCTTATGAACATTGAATGTGTTATTTTGCAGAAACTTAATATTGATGAAATCATTGATAAATTTGGGTATATTTTGTTCTTGCTATATATATATATATATATATATATATATATATATATATATATATATATATATATATATATATATATATATATATATATATATATACTATATATATATATATACCTTGAGGGTAGGGGGACCCAAGTTGATCTGTGCCTCAGGCCCCAATTAAGCTTAATCCGGCACTGGACACAGAAGTAAGGAACGATGGTGGTGAACAACTTACTACCAACAACAACAGGGGCCGGGGAGGTTATACACAAGAAAGGCACCGTGTTGATGACTCCTATTATGGACGTCTTGGTAACTGTCGATTGCAGCATTAAGAGTTTCGCTTTATCTGCAACATATAAAATGTAGGTACAGTGGTAACTTAGAGAATATCAAAACTATATCCACTACAGCATTATACAGTAATAAGTAAGTACAAGTTAGTAAGTACAGAAGCTACAGTATTGTGTACAATATATTAAGTTAGTTTAGTATACTGAAGTATGCTCTACGTGCCCAAGTCCTAACATTACATTGTTGTTAAATTAAGTTATCAAGTGAAGGTGTTAAGAGGAAAGTGATATCGTACACATAACTGCAGGCAGCGATGTACTCACCCAGCCGCAGGCGTTCCTCATGGGCGGCGTTGGCGAACAACATGAACCACACCAAAAATAACACATTACTCTTCTTCTGTAAGATAAAAATAAATGTGGGTAACACGGGCATGACTGTCCGTTAGGGACAGTGTGTGGACACTGCACACTGTGTACTGAGCCTTCAGTACACAAGGAGGCAGCGTAAAGTTCAGTTCCCGTTTACAGCGGAATGGTCTAGGAGTTCCTGAGATCGAACTACCGACCTTTAGGACAGGAGACAAGATAAGTATCCACTCGACCACCGCACTCCTCTGCAAGATACTTGTTTATATATATATATATATATATATATATATATATATATATATATATATATATATATATATATATATATATATATATATATATATATATATATATGCAAGTAAATCACTGTAGGTGCGCGTGATCTAGGTATATGCTGATAACCACAAGGAAAGAAAAAACACGAAGTTCTAGTCTGTACTCACCCTGAAGATGTGAATTACACGAGCGCTTGGAACTTTTTTTTCTTTCAATCAATATATATATATATATATATATATATATATATATATATATATATATATATATATATATATATATATATATATATATATATATATATATATGATCAGCATATACCTAGATCACGCGCACCTACAGTGATTATATATATATATATGCATATTTTTTTTTTTTTTTACGATCACAATATAAGTTATGTTTTCATAATCTGTTTAGTTATAAATATGACTGCATCCCTAGTGTGGTTTCAACTAGCACCATCAAGACAGTGGATCACTTATGGTCGCATCAAAAGCGCCAGATGAGGGAGCACTTCAGGTACAGTGGTCCAGTGCTGACGGATGACACCTTGTCCTGGTTACTCTCCCGCCAACAACAAACATCTGTCGTTGTTCTAACTCGAGGAAAATCATGACCAATGTGCTCCAGCTTGCCGGCGTCGTCATTACCTTCGACAAACTCCAGAACCACAAAATATAATCTTGTCCTAAGATGAAAACAGAGATTATGAGCGTCCTCAAGGTTATGTAAGTTGTACAGTACTGGCACTCCTACAGGAGACAATGTGTTCTGAAAACAACATTATGACTAGGATCCATTAAATAAAATTAAATTCAGGTAATTAGTTTTCAAAAGGCCTCCTCCGTCTCTCACTAACTCCCTCCTATCGCCTGAGCTCTCCTGCATCCCTAAAACTCTCCTTCGCCTCCTTCCTTCACTGTTACTGTCAGAGTTAATACCACGCTCTTACCATGGTGCTGCTGTGACTGAGCTGAACAACTGGGTTTGAGGCACAGTACTACTACACGAACCAGTGGCGGTCATCTTTATATACTCATTGTGTATCAGGAAATAATGAAAAATTTCATATGACGTTATGATTCTGTCGTGTGGCTCCAGGAAAGTTGGATTTTTATTTAGACAATCCTGTGGGAAACTAGAGAGCAAAAAAGTAATTTAGGCTTAATTGATCATTGAGGGAACTTGTTAAACTCCTGAAAGGGTCAAAAGTGTTCATGTTGCTCTCCCGCAGGTGAGTCAGCAGTAGTTAGGTCACAATAATATAACTGAGAAGTAGATGGATCACACAGCGCCACATTTAGAATATTGTATTAAATCTTAAGCCAAGATGGAGGTGAACATCTTGCTCGGAGTAACGTGACTGTCCACTTGTGTTATCAACCATATCATAGCACTTGGAGGTTCTCTCTGAAGATTATTTCCAGAGTTATTCTTTTCTTTTAGTCATATATCACTTCAGTCTACGACTTTGCTTTTGAAATTTCACTCTCCCGAACTTCTGTCCACCATAATTCACATTTACCCTCAGCTGGTACTTTGTGGAACTCCCTCTCTGAGTTTTCCTTGTGTCATTTACAGCAGCTTTTGATTTGCTAATTTACTTTGGTAACGTCCCTAACCAGGGAAGGTTCTTACTTATCATCCCGCGATAGTGTACGTGACATAATCCTCCGTTATGAAAATATGACGTGGATCCAGAATTCCTGTGGTGATTTCGTAAAAAAAAATAAAATAAAACTGTAGATGCTTCCCTGATAGGCAGACACACCTCAAATCAGCCTCAACAATGCTAACATCTTTCTATATATCATTTTAACTATGATTTAAGAACATTGTAAATGTTCACCACTACGCTCTTCAAGCAATATCTTGATATTTGTCTTTTCAGTTACTTCAGCTTTGAGAGTCCTCGAGGAGGAAAGAGCAGCAACCCGCTAGGGGCTGTAATAAACCTGTGGATGTGGTGTTCAAGCCCTGCTGCCACCTCACCTGACTCTCCTATGCACACTGTATTAGTAATAGTTGTGAGTTTAGGAGTTTTGTGTGCTACAGGTCACTCATAACTGAGAAGACTGAAGGGATGATGTTTATTAAGTAAATCCATTGTTTCTATCAAGAAACTGGCAAGTGGTGAAGTCTTCCCTCATGGTGGGTGAACGTTCTTTTGAACTTTTGGCCGCTGTTCAACCTTACCTCCAAGTATTAATCCTTCATCTTATAACCCCCATTACAAGTTTTAATTCTGAATGACTCTGACCTCTGATCAGTCATGACCTAATAAAAATAACTTTCAGGTGGTGTTGGAGGCAGAGTGTTATTACTGTTGTGTCATGGTGGTAGAGTGTTATTACTGTTGTGTCATGGTGGTAGAGTGTTATTACTGTTCTGTCATGGAGGTAGAGTGTTATTACTGTTGTGTCATGGTGGTAGAGTGTTATTACTGTTGTGTCATGGTGGTAGAGTGTTATTACTGTTGTGTCATGGTGGTAGAGTGTTATTACTGTTGTGTCATGGAGGTAGAGTGTTATTACTGTTGTGTCATGGAGGTAGAGTGTTATTACTGTTGTGTCATGGTGGTAGAGTGTTACTGTTGTGTCATGGTGGTAGAGTGTTATTACTGTTGTGTCATGGTGGTAGAGTGTTATTACTGTTGTGTCATGAAGGTAGAGTGTTATTACTGTTGTGTCATGGAGGTAGAGTGTTATTACTGTTGTGTCATGGTGGTAGAGTGTTATTACTGTTGTGTCATGGTGGTAGAGTGTTATTACTGTTGTGTCATGGTGGTAGAGTGTTATTACTGTTGTGTCATGGTGGTAGAGTGTTATTACTGTTGTGTCATGGTGGTAGAGTGTTATTACTGTTGTGTCATGGTGGTAGAGTGTTATTACTGTTGTGTCATGGTGGTAGAGTGTTATTACTGTTTATTACTGTTGTGTCATGGTGGTAGAGTGTTATTACTGTTGTGTCATGGTGGTAGAGTGTTATTACTGTTCTGTCATGGAGGTAGAGTGTTATTACTGTTGTGTCATGGAGGTAGAGTGTTATTACTGTTGTGTCATGGAGATAGAGTGTTATTACTGTTGTGTCATGGCGGTAGAGTGTTATTACTGTTGTGTCATGGAGGTAGAGTGTTATTACTGTTGTGTCATGGAGGTAGAGTGTTATTACTGTTGTGTCATGGTGGTAGAGTGTTATTACTGTTGTGTCATGGTGGTAGAGTGGTTTTACTGTTGTGTCATGAAGGTAGAGTGTTATTACTGTTGTGTCATGGAGGTAGAGTGTTATTACTGTTGTGTCATGGTGGTAGAGTGTTATTACTGTTGTGTCATGAAGGTAGAGTGTTATTACTGTTGTGTCATGGAGGTAGAGTGTTATTACTGTTGTGTCATGAAGGTAGAGTGTTATTACTGTTGTGTCATGGTGGTAGAGTGTTATTACTGTTGTGTCATGGTGGTAGAGTGTTATTACTGTTGTGTCACGACCACTATATCGTTTGATTTCCCGGTTTTTGACCACAAATATTTAACTTCCTGGATTACATTTGGAGAATCTTTCCATGAACAATATTACTGTAAGAGTCGGAATCTTACATAAAAATCAGAATCAATGACTCAGCTGCAGCCAGTGTCACCCATAAGTGATGAGTGTTGAGGGGTGACTTAAAGAAACCCATGAAGAAAAAAAATTGTTGGAGAGACCTGGAGACGTATGTTGCACACATCATAATAAAACAAAAACAGAACAGCAACAGCCAGACAGAGACAAAAATAATACAAATAAAAAAAAATGAAAGAAATATATACACTGTTGAGAAAATTAAGTGGTTTACAGTTTATTAAAAAAAACATTAATGATATTGTGTAAAATTGCGTGTTATATACTGGTAAGGAGATTCATAGTGGATGAATTAAACTAGTATATACACCTGTTCTCTACTAGTTACAGCAGAAATATAAGATAAAAAAATATATATATTCTTACAGTAAACAATAAAAAATATTTATCTATACAACAAAACAAGACTGAAATATCAAGTCTTTATCATTCACACAGATAAAATACACAAGAGAAATATACAACATGAGAAAAATACAACAAGAGAATTATGCAACAGGAGAAATATACAGACAATGAACTTAATACAACATTATTAAAATTTCAACAGACACACAGACAGATTTCTCATTATAATTTATATTTTTATTCTCTTAGATAATTAGATAAAATACTGATAATTATATATTTTCATATTTTAAGAATTTATAAAACCGATATTACATTTTTTTATACTAGGGTAAAGATTACAATGAGAGCGATATATCCACTGACAGCACAGACTCGTGATGTAGACGTTATAAACAAAGGTCTGGAAATTAGTTATGCACATTCTTAGCTTCTTCCATAATACATGATACAGGGTTGGCACGATATGGGTTTTTATAAGCTGTGTGTGTGTGTGTGTGTGTGTGTGTGTGTGTGTGTGTGTGTGTGTGTGTGTGTGTGTAACCTGACATTTTTTTTACCCTTGAATGCATAATGGAAGTCCTTTCTATTCACACACACAATATCATGATGACGTTGAGCCATGACACATCTTCTTCCTTATCACTCACGCCATGTGTACAAAACAGATCACATTATTGAACTAAATTTGTCCATAAAAATACAATTATTTGGATTTGTTTTAGTCATGGCCGTACTAAGAGATTCTTCATTTTCTTTACTAAATTAGACTTGTTGAGTAGAGATTACTTACGTGGAGAATTGCTTGGAAGTGTATAAAGATTTTCACCAACAGATAATGACGTTCTGTACTGTGCTGTATTTGTTAACATAACACTCGATGATCAATACCACGTCTTGAGCAGAGTTATAAAAATAATTACTAAAAATAATTAATATTAGAGACATTGATCACATCCACTACAGAATGAGGAGAAAAATATGAACGAGCAGTGCAATAGAGAGCGGTAAGAAGTCTTCCAAGAGTGTAACACCCGATTTTCAGTAGAATGATTAATAATTCGTTTTTGAGCCAGGAATTTTACATGATCAGCTTACTTAGATATTAATTAATTTTCACATGATAATTTACTTTTTTCGACGTTGTTGGGATGTGAAGGAAGTTCTAAGACAATGTTATGGTGACACTAGAAGACACTTGTGTTGCCTATACGTTAACCAGCAACTCAAGGATTTTTTTGCCTGTAATGATACTGTAGAAACTTTCTTACATTCTATCGAACATTTTCCTCAAGTTGCTCGTTAACATGTGCACCCGTCTTCCACTATTAGTCAGTCTTATTTTAAAACTAAATTCCTCATGTGGTTTAAGTGTGTTGTTCTGTTCCATATATTAAATCAGAAGAATTCTCTCAACTCTACATTAACTACAACTATTAAACTAGCATTTGCTTGTTACATAACCTCTGAGCGGTTTAAGAATCTCTTAACATACCCGTAGAGCTAAAACACGAGGCAGCCACACAACACTGGGCTTGGTTAGAGACAGACAACACCTGGGTCATAAGATATAAAAAACGATAATCATTTTTACTAAAGAAGTCGAGTCCTTTGGCAAGAATTATAAAAAACATTTGGGTAGCGGGATACTTTCTGTCATGGCTGGTGTAAGGTTACTATTATTTGTGTGAAATTACTTTAGCACGATATGTATAATCTGGTGCTTGTACAAGAAGACTTGACTTGGGGTCCGCATGCAATCAGGAACCATAAAAACGCCCTCAACTTCACACGGTGACTCTTGAGACCCCTAGCTTCTCCCGTGTCAGGTAAGTACTTCATACATGTTTATTCTTGGGTTTCCTGCTATTCAACCTCAAATGTACCTGTGATCTCTTGTCCGATTGTTCGCACCACGGCCATCATCTGCTGGCTGGTGTAGGGACAGGAGGAATAGAGTTTCTTACAAGACTCTCCATCATATCCTGCTGCCATGGCCGCTTCGTACAATGATCGAGCTTCGTTCTTTTTGCTTTCATCCTCGGGTTTCTCCCTGCAAGTAATCCCATAAAGTATTTCCATTATTATCATTATTTTAATCATTATTACATTACCCGTTTATTACCTTGCACACTAGTTACTCCCCAACACGAAAAAATAAAGTAATGTTATGTATTAAATGAATTATTCTTGACTTAGTGTCGCCTGAAATACTACTGGTTGAGAATGTGAGACTATAAAGCCCAATTTTCATTTTTCATCTCTTGCCTTCATGACAAGTTTTTCACTATTGATTTTTTTTTTCGTAAGCTAAATAATATTGCTCATGGTAATGATGATAATTTAAACATTTCCAGGAATTTAGTCATTATAATTCAAATATTGTTTTAGAGGTCTGGATAAAATTAGATATTTTTTTAATATATATTTTAAGACCCAAAACAGACAAAATGTTAAAAATGGCTGAATATTTACATTTTAACAACAATAAAGACATACAGATAAAATGTTATAATGGGTGAGAGCTATATTTAAGATGAAACAAGGCGCCGTTACTTACTTGAGGAGGTCGAGAATAATCTGTTCATCTGGCTGGAGTCCAAGACCAACCCTGGCAGCCAGCTCACACACCAGTCGTTGGCCACACCTCGTCGAGTCCGCAGCCTTCACCAGTTTAAAGTACGTGTCTTCTGAGATAGCTTCCTGTAATAAGAGAATCGTTGCATAAATTAAGGCATATTAAATATATCGATATCTTTTAGTTTTCTGGGAAATAATAGAAACACCCAACCCAACTTAACCCAGCCCAGCCCAACCCAACCCAACCCAACCCAACCCAACTTAACCCAGCCCAACCCAACCCAACCCAACCCAACTTAAACCCAGTAACCCAGCCCAACCCAACCCAACCCAACCCAACCCAACAAAACCCAACCCAACTCCAACCCAACCCAACCCAACCCAACCCAACCTAACCCAACCTAACCTAACTTAATCTAAGCCAACAATCAATATGACAGAGAATATAACCTCATGATAAGTGCTGTGAGAGAAAACCAAATTACCTCGACAACTTACCTTAGTCTCTGTAGAAGCTCCAACGTTCTCTGAGTTGGTAATGCTTCTCCTTCTTCTACGATATGAGCTATAACTGCTGACTCCTCCACCTCCTCCTCCAAACCCACTTCCAAATCCACCTCCTCCAATACCTCCACCTACACTTCCGACTTCACTGTAACTGCTAAGACCACCGATTCCACCTCCGATACCTCCTCCATCACCGTATACTCCACCTCCTCCTCCACCGATTTCAATTCCACCTCCACCATATCCACCGCCTCCACCAATTCCTCCACCGCCTCCACCTCCAATGCCTCCACCATAGCCTCCACCTCCACCTCCAATATCTATTACCCCTCCACCTCCACCGTAACCTCCACCTCCTCCATGATCGCCTCCACCACCTCCACCATAGCCTCCACCACCGCCTCCACCTCCACCTCCACCTCCAATGCCTCCACCATAGCCTCCACCTCCACCTCCAATATCTATTACCCCTCCACCTCCTCCATGTCCAATGTCTATTCCACTCCACCATCCACCTCCTCCACCTCCTCCACCACCATGTCCAATGTCTATTCCACCTCCACCATAGCCTCCACCTCTCCACCTCCTCCATGTCCAATATCTATTCCACCTCCACCTCCATCGTAACCTCCACCTCCTCCACCACCATGTCCAATGTCTATTCCACCTCCACCACCTCCCTCCCACCTCCTCCATGTCCAATGTCTATTCCACCTCCACCATAGCCTCCACCTCCTCCACCTCCTCCATGTCCAATATCTATTCCACCTCCACCTCCATCGTAACCTCCACCTCCTCCACCACCATGTCCAATGTCTATTCCACCTCCACCATAGCCTCCACCCCCTCCACCGTGACCACCTCCTCCACCTCCACCATGACCTCCTCCTCCACCATAACCTCCTCCTCCACCGTGACCTCCTCCACCACCATAACCTCCGCCTCCACCTCCATCATGACCTCCTCCACCATATCCTCCACCACCTCCTCCACCATAACCTCCACCACCATGACCTCCACCACCTCCTCCACCATAACCTCCACCACCTCCTCCACCATACCCAGATGGTACGTGGTAAACAGCAACATAACCTCCTGCAAAAAAATAAATAAATAAATAAAAGAAAATATAAACAAATTTCATCTCCAGTTGATGTTAACAAGATGGCGTAAAATAACTTGTTTATACGTGAAGTCGAGAACCTGATACAACCATGAACAAGTTTTATTCTCGGGGGGGTTTAATAAATAAATCAGTGTTTTATATTAATACAAGTTTTGTGTTTTAGGTTTTAATGAAGTAATTTTATTTTATTTTTTATTATTATTATTATTTTTTTTTTTTAAGATGAATGAGATTTGTTTTTGTTCTTACCTCCACCGTGATGGCCGCCGCCGCCGCCTCCACCACCGCCGCCGCAGCCACCTTTCTTCCCGCAGCCTTTACCGCATCCTCCACCGCAGCCTTTACCTTTTCCTTTACCACACCCTCCACCTCCTCCTCCATACCCTCCTCCTCCACCTCCGTAGCCTCCTCCTCCACCTCCACATCCTTTCCCTTTACCACATCCTCCACCTCCTCCATGGCCACCTCCTCCATAGCCACCTCCTCCATAGCCACCTCCTCCATAGCCACCTCCTCCATAGCCTCCACCGCCACATCCCTTCTTGTACAGCGCCAAAAGACCTATTTTAAGAGCACCTAACGGGGAGAAAAAAATAACATGATGTAAGGAAATGTAAAAATAGTGATAAGAGTAATAAACAAAAAAAATAAAAGTTATAACCTAACTTGATCTGACCTGACCTGATCTGACCTAACCTAACATGACCTGACGTAACCTAACCTAACATGACCTGACCTAACCTAACCTAACATGACCTGACCTAACCTAACCTAACATGACCTAACTTGACCTGACCTGATCTAACATGACCTGACCTGACCTGACCTAACCACTATATTCTAAATGGCTCTTTTATGAGAACCCAAGTCATGTCATTATTTTGTCTGGGGAATACACACTAAGTCATTCACTCCTTCTGCAGGAGAGACTTACCAAGAAGACCCAGGGCGGCTACACTTGAGGCCACTCCTGCAGCGAGAGGTCCTGCCAGAGCAGCTCCTCCCAGACCAAGGGATCCAAGTCCTCCCCCTAGACCAGCCAGGGAAATACCGGTACCGGTGCCACCCAGGACGACAAGGGACTCCACCACCTGCGCCACCAACACCGCCACCGTCAGCCAGGTCACCACACCCCGCAACCGCATCCTGAAGGTGTTGTGATCCCCTGCTGTCCGTCAACCTGCTGGTGAAAGTAAACCTGTGAAGTTAATCTTTATTTACACTTGAAACCAACACGATATGGACTGGAAAACGAATTTATTTTGAAAGTTTAATTTGTAAGTCAATTTATTTTAATAGTTACAACAATCTACAGTTGAGTTTTGAATTAAGGGCCGCTATTGATGTCTTAAAAGATGACTCAAATTTGACTTAGAAGAATAAACTATGTGTACCAGTTCATTGTTAAATTAGAGGTATTTCAATTAGCATCTTATATGATGTTTGAGTTTGGTTATAGGATATACCTCAAGGTATTTTGCTTGAAGGTAAATAATAATAATAATAACAACAATAATAATAATAATAATAATAATAATAAGGAACAACAACAACAATACAGTAAGGTTCAATAAAGAGTGTGTGTGTGTGTGTGTGTGCGTGTGTGTGTGTGTGAACAACTCTTCTATCATTAAGAGAAGCAGAAATACGTCTCAAACCGAACACATTTTTTCTTAACTCTTGACGTCATTGAATTAATCCCTTTATTCCTCTGTTTAGGTCAGTCACGCTTTCTCTACCTTTTCCCCATCACTAATACCTGTCCATCCACCTGTAGCTCCTCCTTCGTTATTCACAACTCTTTCACTTTCTTCATTCCTCATTTGGTTAACTTTCATGAGCTATAATTCTCTTTAGATTTTCAATATTAATGAATAAAACTATTACTTGAACTGAGTTATTATCTTTAGTGGTCAATTTTTAGAGTAGCTTTTCTTAGTTGTGTTTGATGGAGGTAGAATGGAACCCAGGACAAAGTTATCACATCAAGGAGCTAATTTAGACCAGGTGTGATGTTCTGTAATGAAGAGATGCGTTTAATTATCCCTTACATGTGTGTGTGTGTGTGTGTGATTTACCTGTACTGGCAATCAGCTGTAAGATATGGTACCTGAAGTGATGAAATATAACACACAGGTGAAGAGAACAGTCGACAGGTGGTGACTGGTGATGTCAGATGCCAGTACAGGTATTATCAGCCAATTATTGCTCTGTCTGTCTGTCTGCGATGACTGGCGACAAACTTCTGGAGATGACAGTTTTCTCCAGGTGCTGGATGATGTACAGCGCCACCTGGTAAACAACTTCAGGTAAACAGCGCCTCGTAATGGAGCATCAACCCATGAGTAACCAGTATCAAGACAGTTTACCTATATACCAGATGATCTACAACCCACAACAACCAACTAGGCTCCAGACACAATGGCTATAAATAGTAAATCACAACCAAAGTGAAGACAATCATTACATCTTGCAAGTCTCCAGCCTCCAGACGGCTATATAATGCATCACAACAATGCTCTATACAGGAGAGAAGAGGCGAGTCATCTCTCTCTCTCTCTCTCTCTCTCTCTCTCTCTCTCTCTCTCTCTCTCTCTCTCTCTCTATTCTACCATGAGCCGTAAGCGAAAGAGCAGAGGTCCTGTTCGCCAATGTTTCGTCAGCACGGGCTTTCTCTCCTTCGCCCGTGTTGATTTGTGTGAGTAGGCAGAATTTTGGAACGACAGGGAAAATGCCCCGAGGAGAGGAGGTGGTCGTGGTGGTCGTCACTGCTCGAGGCTAATACGACCACAACAATGGAAGTCTCAGTGAAAGATGCCCCGTAATGCTATTTCACATCACAATGAAAAAAAATCATTAGTATTTTCTTTTTTTTAATCCTTGTTCACGATAACGTCACGTAAGACTCATTTTCCTTAATTACAGAGTTTTATTTTTTTTTTGTATCTTTTTACATCCTGGGGGGGGAGGGGGGCTAAATTTAGACCCCAGGTTAATGGAATATGTTCTATAATTTTTAAGAGACAATCTGAAAATTTTCTTCCCGTATGAACTTTTAACCAAACTTTCTCGGGTTAATGGAAACAATTAGACTCCAGTTTACATTAATTTGGTGTTTCCTTTGAATTTTAAGAAACACTGAAAGTCTTCCTTCATTTATCTAAGCACATGGAAAACACAAGATTATTTTTTGTCTCTAATAATTTATCTGTTCATCTTTCCTTCAAGTAAATGGAAACTACATCATTATTAACCCTTCCGTCTCTCTTCGTGGTGATGGTGTGAGGTGTAATGTTCACTTTCACCCCCATACAAACACTCTTCTCTTTTGAGGTAATGGGACCTATATTTAGAAGCTACCTAAAGAGACATAACACCTTTGTAATACCTTTGTTTACCTGTAATTAGAGTCTGTATCGTCATGTTAATTACCTAGAGATTAAAATATCCCTATACCAACCTTAATGTTACTTGAAGCTAAAATTGAAGTGATTATAAAATTCTATAAATAAAATATAGGTGATTAAATAAAGGTGAAATGTAATTAAGGTATTGTAATCACGGATCAATATCATTACACCTGTACTAGATGGGTTGTGGATCTGTCTGTTAAGAGGAACGGTTTGTGCCTTCAATAACACGACAGAGAAAGAAAGAGAGAGAGAGAGAGAGAGAGAGAGAGAGACAAACAGAAAGAGAGAAAGTGATCTACCGATGTTTGTTGAAAGTAAAAAGAGAAAGTAGAGGACAGTGTTTACAGAAGACCCTAAAGTGAATCTTAAACTCACAGAAAGTTCAAGACTGGAGCCACTAAGAGTCACCAGCCGTCTTAATGGCGTACAGGAACCTTTAACTATAGCGCCTATAAGACACTCAATGGAACAGCTTAATTTTTGGGCACTCTTGCGTATTTCACCTGATGATTAAACATCCTAAACCTAACCTAACCTAACCTAGACATCCAAACACCCAGACAGACGAAAATAAAAACACCATCACAATACTTCCAATAATTTCATTACTAATACGAGGAAAAAAACAAAAACATAAAACAGAATCATAGAAGAGAGAGAGACAGATCTTACGTCTCAACACAAATCTTTCTTCTCATCGTAAGAGAAACTTGGGTAAAGTGAAAGACATTGCGGCATTCAACAGTCTACTCGAATCCGTCCAGTCATCTATTGTAATGTACCGTCATGTTGTGAGGATCAGTAGGTGTTGGCAGAAAGGTTGGTGAATGTTTTCGTCTGGCGTAATGCTCTAGAAATGCCAAGAGAAACGCCAGGGAAACGCCAGAGTAACGCCAGGGAAACGCCAGAGTAACGCCAGGCACTGCTAATAGCGTGATCTTGTTGGTGTTATTACTGTTGATGTTGATATAATGGTAAATAGGATAATGCTATTTTAACC